TGAGAAATAAAATTTTCTTTATAAATTATCTAGACCATAGTATTCTGTTACAGCAGCAGAAAATAAATTAAGCCATATTCATATGCAGGCTGAGTACCCTTTATCCAAAATGCTTGGGACCCAGGAGTGTTTAGAATTTTATTTTGGGGCTTTGAAATATTTGCAAATATGTAATGAGATATCTTAAAAATGGGACCCACGCCTAAACACAAATTCATTGATGTTTGTTGTATATCTTACACACATGGTCTAAAGGTAATTTTCTACARTATTTTTAGTGTGCCTGAATTTTGACTGTGACCCATCAGTGAGGTTGGGTGTGGAGTTTTCTACTTGTGCTGTCATGTTGGTGCTAAAAGTTTTGTGTTTTGGAATATTTTGAGTTTATGATTTTTGGATTAGTAACACTCAGCCTGTACAATTTATCAAAAGTGGTGTGGATTCATATGGGTTCACCCTAACCACAATCCAAGATAAAGAACTGTTTGATCACAGAGATCTTTTATAATCATACTCACTCTTCTTTCCATTTTATGAAAGCATTCACTGATTACTCTGTATTTCATATGACCTTGGAATAAACTGAAAAAATATTGGCAATATGTTTTAGGGTTTTTTAAATTTTTTCTGAGGATTGAACCCAGTGCCTCACATGTGCTAGACAAGCACTCCACCACTGAGCTACAACCCCAGTCCCTGTTTTTTTTTTTTTTTTTTTTTTACATTGCTCTGTAACTATTTACAGTAAGGATTTAAAATGTCAGTTCATTTTGTGTGTTTCAGAATCTATGTCTCAAAAGAATTGACACTGAAGAAACTCTTTACATTACTAACCTGTGAATTTCTCCAACAGCTGGATTCCTGTATGTATGCGTGGGTGTATGTGTATGTGTATGCATGTACACAAGGTATAGTTGGTGTAGACTTCCTTATATGTTTTTTATTTTTTTTTTTTGTGTGTGTGCTATATTATGCTGTACTAAGAAACAACTCAATATCAGTAACTTACAATAAGAAAGGTGTATTTATTGCCCACATTATAAGTTCCCTAGGAATTAGCTATGGTTCTGTTTTGGCAGTTCTTTTCATTTCAGGATCYAGGCTTGAGATCAGTCCCTATTTGTGACATATTGTTCTCCTGGCAAGGAGAAAAGAGTAAGAGCTAGCAAAAACACACAGTAGCTCTTAAAGCTTCTACTTAGAACTGGAATTTTCTCACATTTTATTGGCCAAAGTAAGTCATATGTCCAAGCCTCACATTATAATGGAACATCCTCAGAGAGGCTCTATAAGTTGCATTTTTTTTCAGACTGTGTAGTAAATAGAAATGACTCTTTGGAAGTAATTTTTCTTACATTTATAAATATTTAACTTAGTCACAACTGATAATGAATAAATTTTTCATTGTTTTCTTGTGGTGCTTGGGGATCTAACCCAGGGCCTTGTACATGCTAGGCAAGCTTTCTACCACTGAGCTCAATATTTTACATTCTCAGCCCTTAAATAATTCTTTTATATTGTAATAAAAGAATTTTAAAAGTCCATATTTTGATTTTGACAACTGTTTAAAAGTTTAAAAGTTTTCCATTCACCACAGATAAGAAAAAGTGTKCTCTATATATGTAATATGAATTGTAATGYATTCCGCTGTCACATATAACAAATTAGAATAAAAAAGTTTTAAAAAGTTTTTCATTAGCTGTTTAGTTGCTAAAAGTTCATATGCAATTTTGTATACTGATGAGATTTTTGGATTTTTATTTTTTTTTCAAATTAAAAATAGCTTTATTGTTTCATTCTCATTATATAGGTAGGACATTCTTATCATAAAACTGTCTTTGGAGAATGCAAAGCAGGGGCTGGGGCAGTGTAGTTCAGTGGTAGGGCCCTCACCTAGCATGGACAGGGCCCTGGATTTGATCCCTAGCACTGCAAAAACAAACAAACAAAAAAAAACAACAAAAACAAAAAGAGGAGGAGGATGCATAGGAATACAAAGAATATAAAAATCACTTATTATCCCATCATCCAGAGATAATCACTGTGGTGACTTGAGGCATTTTTTTTTCCTCCATGCATTCATTATGTGTGTGTGTGATGTATGTGTGTTTAAAATTGGTCATATTTATAGTTCAACAACGAAAAGTCAAGTTTTGTGTGGGTTTTTGTTTGTTTTGGGTAT